TTGTGACAGCTGGTTAGGTTCAGTAAAAAGAAAGGTTAACTTAAGAAACTGTGTGGATACTTTAGACAGTTTGTGATATAGGTATATTAGCATTAAGTATAGGAGTTTAGGGTAGAGTTTTCAGAAAATGAGTTCATTCTTATTCTGAGAAATGGCTTTTGTTCAAGCATATTCTGAGCCTCGGTGAAATATGTTATGATTCCAAGAAATGATCTTTGTATTTGCATTGAAAAACTGGTGTTTACCCAACATCGATTTCAACTATATCTATCATCTACAAATACCTATTTGTCCATTATAGTGACCAGCAGTACATGAGAAAGGTAGAGAATTTGTGAGGTAAAACATTAATCACATGCCAATGTCTATTGTTTAGAGAATAGATTGGAGAGAGATAAGATTAATAAACAAGGCTCGGTTTAAATTATCATTATCCATTTTAATTCCACTTTAAAATGAAATACATAAGTTCTTTTTCCCCCTAATATAACTAAATAATACCAACCATCTAAAAAAACCAACCATCATTTTTACCAGTAAATTTGGATATCACATTTTGGACTCTTTTAATGGGTTCCAGGATAAGTCTGGATTCTTATAAGAATACCCTTGATAAGGGTAGATGTCTTAAGGTTAATGATTGTTATTCATCATAGGATTTTAATTGTAAGTTGAAAATTTGCTAAGTATATTTCCTATTATACTAAAAGCAATTAATATCTCTAAATGCTCAGTAAGCATATACTCTAAATTCTTACATGGTTCTCTACATAAGAACCAATGTAGATTTTGGATAATGAGTACCATGTAAATGCAGAGAAAATGTTGAGTCCTTTGAAACCTTACAGATGTCTGTTCTTGAGCTTCAGGCTAAGTAAACCCTTGTCATGTAAGGTGATCCCTTTTGTTGTTGAGTATGGATAAGGATCTGAATTTGCTTGGTCTTAATATTCATAGCTGTCTTTTTTTTTCATAAGGAAGAATTTATCAGAAATTATTGAAATAAGTATTCACATCCTTTTGGTTTTAAAAATATTCAGTCTCATTATATAATAAAACGTCACAACCATTTTTATTTTTGTCCAAGGTCATTTGTTTTTTAGATAACTTAAACATAGGAAATTATAAATACTACCCATAATCTCATAATCTCATCAAAGATAATTACTGTGATACTTTGTCTTAGTTTTCCAGTCTTTCATTTTACTCAAAGACTTATCATACCATGTATAATATTTTGTGTCTTTATATTTGTCTCATATTAAGTTAAAAACCATCTCTGAAAGGATGGTTATTCTATATATTCAATTATATTTTTAAGTATTTGACTGTTTCCTTACTGTTGGATTTTGCGGCTTATCAATTCAAGTTTTTGAAGTTTTCTTTTTACTGTTATAAATCAAATCATACTTAATTAAACAAAAGTCTTTTACTACATGAAAAAGACTCATATTACTCTTGAAAATTGAGAGCAGAAAATGCTCATTCATAAAATACATACAAGTTCTACCAGAGTTCTTATGAATGGATCACATTGAAATCACATTTATCACCAGGAGATAAATACCCTAGAATGTAGAATGTAGGTGACTGGAGAAAAATCTAGACAAAAAACTACACTGCTGTCTCTGTGATTGAATTTGACATGGTTTTTAAAAAAATCGATAAGTAGTGGTAACAGAGTAGCTCAGTTGTATCAAGATGATGGCTTATCCCTTCTTTACATAGATGTTTATAAGTATGACCATAAGTATATGTATATGTAAGCCTTTTAATTTAAGTATAAACTCTGAAAATCCAAAGGTAGTATAGAAAAAGAAAACAGAAACAAACTGATTGACCATAGAAATTGTCCCACAATCATTTTTCTTTAGGAAAATAAAATACTACCACTTCAGAAGAAGCTAAATGTCATCATAACTAAGATTTTTTTTTAATTTATAAGTATGACCTTAAGTATATGTATATGTAGGCCTTTTAATTTAGGTATAAAGTCTAAAAGTCCAAAGGTAGTATAGAAAAAGAAAGCAGAAACAAACTGATTGACCACAGAAATTGTCCCACAATCATTTTTTTTTTAGGAAAATAAAATACTAACACTTCAGAAGAAGCTAAATGTCATCAGAACTAAGATTTTTTTTTAAGTCAAAACAAAACAGAAGAGTTCTATGAGTTTGGACTAACTTGAGGTGGAGTTGTATTTATAGACGTACTACAACTACTCAACAATGGTAGGGTATTACATAAAGAGTATATATATATATATATATATATATATTTTAAAGGAACAGTCATGATGTGCCATTTTGACTAGCACCTTATAATTACTATTTTACAAGAACTTGTCATTTTTTGATGTTTACTTTTTAGTGATCTACAAGATGAGTTCTGTTTTATCCATTATTCAGAGGCAGTAGAATTGAAACTTTCCTCACTAGTAAGCAGGGAACTGTAAAATAAACCACAGTTAAAGTCCCATTTTGCCTTCTAAACACCAGAATAGACAGAATGTATTATCAAGGTAGTGATAAATCCTTTTCTCCAGTGCCTGTGGAGCTATCATCTACAAAAGAAAAAGGGCCATGTCTGTCCTGTTTTATTTAATTTCAATGAAATGTGGTCAAGGACTAAGGTAGGGAAGAATGGGTGTTATTTATATTCATATCTTTTCATATACATTTGAATTATTTGATGTTTTTTCATAAGTGGCACACACTAGTTGACTTAAACAGAAATTCATTTTCTGGATCAACTGGTCAACAGTGTTAGTTTCTTCTGAGGCTTTTCTCCTTGGCTTGTAGAAGGATATCTTAGGTGTTTTAATGTAAACCTTTTGTGAGTTTTTGTCCTAATGTCTGTCTGTCTGTCTCCCTTTCCATCTCCCTCTCCCTCTCCCTCTTCTTCTCCTTCTTCTTCCCCCTCCCTCATCTCTCTCTCCTCTTTCCCCTTCTCTCCCCCTCTCTTCCTCATCTCTCTTTTCTTCCCTCATCTCTCCCCCTCCCCCTCTCTTTCTCCCCCCCTCCCTCTCTGCTTCTCTCCCTCCCTCTCTCTCCCTCTCTCCCTCTCTCCTCCCTCCCTCATCTCTCTCTTCTCTTTCCCCTTCTCTCCCCCTCTTTCTTCCTCATCTCTCTTTTCCTCCCTCATCTCTCCCTCTCCCCCCTTTCTTTCTCCCCCTCTCCCCACTCCCTCTCTGCTTCTCTCCCTCCCTCTCTCCCCCCTCCCTCCCTCCGCTCTCTCTCCTTCTCTCTCTCTTTCTACCTCTCTCTTGCTTTCTCTCTCTCCCCCCTCTCTCCTCTCTCTCTCTCTCTCTCTCTCTCTGTGTGTCTCTCTCTCTCTAAGGATGCCAGTTATGTTGGATTAGGATACACCTTAGTGATATTTTCACTTAGCCACCACCTTAAAAGACCCTCTCTCTAAACACATTTAAAGCTGTGTTAGGATTTCAGTGTATGGATTTGGGAAACCTGTGGTTCAGCTCATGATCTGTAGGTTGTGCTTGGGAACTCCTATTGAAATTGAATTCCCTGTGTAAAGAGGGAAAATGGTAGAAGTAGAGTACTGGGAAGTGGTTAGGATTAGATAAGCTCATTTGGAGTGGAAACCTCCTTGGGAGCTTTGTAGAAAGACACCTACTTATACAGGCAGATTCTTTGCCTTTTGCCACATGATACTCCACACTGACTCAGGGTTCTACAGGCAGACTGCTGCCACCAGATGAGCCCCCCCCCCCCCCGCCTTGAACTTCAGGATAAAGAGCCAAGATAAACCTGTATTTTTTTTAAAGCAGTCTGCCTCAGGAATGCCACTGCAGTAACAACAAAAACAAAAGAACTGACAGGGAAGTTAAAAGAACTTAAGGACTCATTGCTGGTATCTTGACCAGTGGGATCTAGTCCCTAGTATGTTTCAGAACAAATGTTATTTTCAGTATGCACACTGCTGCCACTGTACTCCTAGGGATGTACTGAAAACTCCTAAGTGTTGTGTTGTTTTGTTTTGTTTTTCTCCATAGACAAAGGAATTGCCTTGAGAATAAACCAAAAGAGAAAGATTATAAAATTGAAACACTGAACTCTAATCACAATGCCTATTTGTTAAATAAATGGTAGTGTTTGTATACAGGGCAATAAAGAAAAGTAAGTATCAAGCAGGAAATAAAGAGTGGGGAATAGAACCAGGAAAGAACACAAACCAGTGGTTTACCATAGGAGGGAGTTAGTGCTGATCTTTTATTTGGCATGCAGCAGAAAATCAGAAGTATCTTGAAATATATAGTCTCCTATAATCACATGAATTCGTTAATATGAAATAGGCCATTTCATATTATATTGGATGCATAAAATACCACAAAGGCAACAGATTAAATGAACTTCAGATATAGATTAAAACTTAGAATAAGACTTTATATATAGTAAGGCACTCATCCAACACAATGGTGGATCTCACATGGCAGGCTTTGTACCTGCCTCTGCCAGAGGAGAGACTCCAAGACTTAGGAGAGTTTCTGAATTTAGTTTTGACAAGATAGTCCATGAAACATGTTTGTTCTTGTAGTCATCCACAGATCAGTAATATAACATACATGTGATTTGTGAACCAAGTTTGGCCATGTAAAATTAAAGTAATAATCATTACCTTGGTATGTTAAATTACCTACGTGTATGAAAACCATGGCTTTAAAGAATGGGGATTTAAAATAGAACTGATTAATTGCATTATAGTTTCGTGACTATTTCTTAAGAAGTTGAAAGGATTTTTACAGTAGTTTTTCTGAAATGAAGTCCTTAGCTTTTTTCAGGTGCTATAAAGATGACACCATTTATATGTGCTTCAAGTTTTTCTTCTTTGTGGGTAGAATATACTCTTTAAATCATAAAAAAAAATTTGGATCTATGTCATTGCTATATTTGGAGCTGTAATGCACATCCTGTCTAAGATAGTGTCTTTTTTTTCTTGGTTACATTTAAGTTACATCCTCTCTCCTTTCTTCTTTTAAATAGGTCAAACTAGTGAGTAGAGAAGCATATCTGAAAATCATTCACCATGTTTCGGAGGAGATTTGATTGCCGAAGTAGTTCAGGCCTGCTGACTACGACTCCTCAAACTCCAATTAAAATGGAAAACTTCCATAATTTCTATACAATTACAACTAAAGAGCTTGGAAGGTATGGAGACTGTGATGTGGGTGCTGTTTGAATTCAAATTTGGGGTTTTCACTTTGGACCATTAACAAAGATTGGAAAGAAAATTTATCATCTCTGTTCATCTGAGGCTGTGAATAGACGAGAACTTAGTATAGTAGATTCCAAGTCCAACTCTTGACTTCTGCCATGTGTTTGACCTCAGTTAGATTACCATGGTGCCTTAGTGCCATACTTTGCTCATATGAAGAAGAGAAGAAAATATTGTATCTATTTTATGTGTTTGTTGTGAGAGTTACAATGCTTCATATTTGTAAAATACTTACTACAGAGTTACAGAAGTTTTTTTAAATACATTTTTTAATTGTGCTTGGCTAAAAGAGGCAATAGGAGATTCCTCATACTGCAAAGACTTGTTCCCTGAGTTAAAAAATAATTAACTTATATCTGATTATTTTAGTTCCCTAGCACAAAGAATGAGCACTCTATAAGTGAAAGCTTACCCCGAGTCTGCCTGGGCCTGACCACAGTAGCTTCTTAAGGCCAGGAAGTAGCTAAATGCCATGAGACCCACGTAGTGTTATTTTAATAGGCATAAAGGTTATAAAAGCCATTCCAATTTATTTATCTGTCCAGTCTCCTTTGTTTTAAATTAAATGTGATTACTGAAGGTGTGGAAGATGGTGGTCAATTTATACCTTCAGCTTGATTGCAGTAATGGAGGCAAATGTTTGTTAAAACGGTGTATTGTTTGTATTGAAAGACCACATTTAAACCACTTTTTAGTGCTTATTTTCTCTCTTAAAATGAGAAGCCTAGAATTGAACACGTGGAGTACAAGGACTCTTACCAAGGAAGCCTGAGGCTGCAGCCAGGCCATGTCTACCTGGCTCCCTCTCTGTTCCTCCCTTCCTCCCCCTCCATCTCTCCCCACCTCAATTTCCATCCAATTTGTGTAATATTTTAGTAGAAACAGAACAAATGTCAGTTGACCTGTCTTTGTGCTGGATATAAGTTATGTGATCTACTTAGTTGTATATTTGCTTTCTTTTAACAGTGAGAAGCTAGACTAAATGTTTCCTTTTATTACAAAAATATTTGGAAATTTTCCTGAGCAGTTAATTATATATAAAAAGCCTGAATAATCCATATAATAAAAATATGCTTTTATTTTCCTAGGCTGCTAATTTGATAGGTAAATTTTCTCTTTATTAAATTAATTTTACAAAATAAGGAAGTATTGTGGGAACTATAATGTCTATAATGTATTTTGTTTTTCCTCAAAGGTTTTTGGAGAACTTAAACTTTGAGGAGACCATTATCCGTAATTCTAAATTTATTTTTACATGCCATCATAAGAAATAACCATAAATTTGAATCAGCATACTTTTTAATAGTTTAGCACAACATCTCATGGTAGAATCTGGTTAGAACAAATTCAGAGTGTTACTATCCCATCTTCTATCTTCATGAGACTTATGTAGCATCTTTCTTTGAGTTCTTTCCAGGTATTGAGTCATATGGTGCGTATTGATGCATTTGATTTTAGACCTTGATAATTAAAAAAACTTATGACTTTTCATTTGTCAGGAACTAGCTTAAAGTACTTTCCATATTATAACTGGTCTTTGTATGCTACTGTAGTATATAAATATATAATTCTGCTGTGGAAAACTATGAAATTATCTTTATAAATGAACTGGTTCTAATTCATTAATTTTAAAATGTCAATGTTTAGGAATTATTTTCCTTTAACAATCTAAAAGAAAATTCATAAAAGTTTTGTTTTGTTTTGTTTTTTGCTATTCTCAAAAACCTTGCATTGTTCCTATTTTTTAACATGTGGGGTAAGTTTTTTCTACCCCTCCCCCACAGCTGAGGCAAAGTTTCATAGGACTTGTGGTTAAAAGGGTGAGGCAGCTTCAGAAATCAACGTCAGCTTCCTTTGTGGCTTACCCTTCTCATGCATTCACATTTTATTGTGTGTTCTAGACTGTCAAAGGTAACTAACTGCTAGACCTTGTCACTACTGGGAAATCTAGACAGACTTGCCTCTTTTGGCCATATGCATGAAGTACTTTTGGTAAATGTTGCAAGTTTCCTTGAATGTTTCTGTTAAATTTGGAATAAGAATCTTATATATTGCAGATTCTTTTTGATACTTCTAAGCTACAACTAGCATTTTAGACTAGAAAAACTACTTGGAATTTTCCTAAGGCATCTGATAATTATGATAAAAATAGTTTTCTTGTTTCACAATATTTAAATGAATATATGCACAGATGCACATATGTTATAGGAATCACACACTTTAAAAAGCACAAATACCTTACCACAGGATAAAAAATAGCATAGTAAATGGTAGTTATTTCAGTTTCTATGAGATATTAGGTAACTAAGTGTGGATTTTACAATTACTAAAGTAATTAGGTCAGATATGTCCCCTACCTTCATGGAGCCTTTACTTAGGGATAAACATTGGCAGATAAATCATTACCAATGTTATTTGGTCACATTTGCCCTAGATTAATGAGAAGTGCTTTTAAAAAGTTTCTCAAGAATACCCGAGACAAGCTGAGCCTGGTGGCTCATGCCTGTAATCCTAGCTACTCAGGAGGCTGAGATCTGAGGATCATAGTTCAAAGCCAACTGGGCAGGAAAGTCCATGAGACACATCTCCAATTAGCCACTATAAAGCTGGAAGTGGCGCTGTGGCTCAAGTGGTAGAGCACTAACTTTGAGCTCAAGAGCTCAGGACAAAGCTCAGGCCCAGAGTTCAAGCTCAATGACCAACAAAGAAAAAAAAAAAAAAGAATACCTGAGACAATTAGATATAAGATGTTATTTATTTTTGTTTTTTGTTTTGGGGAGAATTCTAGAAATACTATAGGAATAAACAATTGTAGCAGAACTAAATTGTCATAGTTGATACTGCAAACTATTTTTTCAGATGCAAAATTGTCTTTGCTAACTGGTTTCCTGAATTTTATAAGGTAAATTATTTGTACAATTCCTTTCTGTTTTTGGCAGAGTTTTGCATCTAAATCTAAGAATTAGTGGAAGTGAATTATGTTTCCTAGCCTAGGGTGGTAGGGTGGAAGGGGAGGAAGTAGTCATTTTAAAAGGAGAAATTATTATGTGATAGAACAGAAAGTTAGAAATTCACATTTCTCTGTTTAATTCTTGACACTCCAATTTCATATATGACCTTGATCATCTTCCTACTCAAGGTATCCAATATAAATCAGCAATGATTTTGAATATAAAGTTAAAAAGGTTGGTTAACTTTTTATATGTTTATTGAAATACATCTATCTATATTCCTTTTGCACACAGTAAGAAAATATTTTATAGTTAAACATTCTCAAATCTTAAAACTGCTTTCAAAGAATCAGGTCCATATATGCCAACACATGTAATATAGATATATTTTAATGAATGGAGGAGTCAAATTATAGCTGACAAACCCTGCACATTGCTAGCTGTACCTTTTAGCTTTTTGTTTTCCCAGTCACTCTCCTTGGCATGGATTTTGAGAAAATTGGTATAAAGAGTAAAGAGAAGGAATTTTTGTCTTGCTGGCTCTTGGGAATGGCAACTAAAGTACAATAAAATAATTTATTGTTTTATCTTACATATATCTTTTACACCAGAGTGTTAAAAATTGTTTTACTTGTGAAAAAAGTGCTGGTAGAAATATGTTCAAAAGGGAAGTGAGGCAAGGGATATTGGACCAAAGTTAGTTGCTGAAGCTTTTTAACTTATTCCTAATTTGTTGGGACCGCAAAAGAGAGAGTAATTTGAACCTTAGGGTAGAGGTTCTTAATTTTAAATCCTCTAGACTGCAGTTTAGAAGACATGATTGGTTTATAGCTTCAAAATCTGTCAACTCTTTGGGGAATTGACTGTAATGCTTCCTACCTACAGGCGTATATACATTTTATGAATCTGCAAGTCATTCTCTTTTATTAGTTCTCAAAGTAATCTGACTCTAAATAGCTTTAAGTTATTGTAGAACTACATATTAGGTGATTGTGGGCTCTTTATACACAATATACCAATGGTAACTAATTTTGGCATGTTCTTAAGTTTTGGCTAAAGTGTTGAAAACTGCTAGTGGAGAGGAATAAACACACTTATTTCTAATATGAAAAGTATGACTTTAATAAGTATGTTTGCATCTAACCATTAATTTTCTTAGTTAACTAAGAAATGTCTGAATCAATCCCCTCTGTAGAATACCCATATCTGTTTTAGGTAACACTGACTAGTGAGCATTACTAAGGAATACATTGGCAAAACAACTTGAACATTATAATAGGAAGGTTCCAAGCTGACAAAAAGCTATAGTCAAAGCCAGATTATTGCATTAAAATTATATATTATATATGTTCAATTTTGTATTCATTTCAGTTTCTTGTATTTGAAAAAGAGCTGTTTTGATTAGAGATTATATGTGATCCTTGAAGAAGGGTACAGTTTGGGAAATAGAAAACTTAAGTTTGAATCTTTCTCTTGACCCAATTGTGTAGCTTCTGTGGGGTGTGCAAAAACCAGAATAACACTTCCTACATAAAATCATATGAATCATAATTCATAATCATTTACAACAAGAGTATGATATAGAGTTAGTATATAAGACAGATTATCATTTGTAAATATCATGTTAGTAAGAGTAAATTTCATTCTGTCTTATCTTGCCACTATAGTTCGACATTTACATTTTATGTGATAGTACTGGAAACTTTACTAAAAATACATATAAGTGATTCTCTTTAAAGAAAATCAGTATTTGACATCAGTATTTGAAAGAAATGATTTAAGTTGGGGATGTAATAGTACCTGTAATATTCTAATGTTCTTTATGGAAAAGTTAAAACTGTTCTTTTTTTCTCCCCCAGGGGAAAATTTGCCGTGGTTAGACAGTGTATATCAAAATCTACTGGCCAAGAATATGCTGCAAAATGTCTAAAAAAGAGAAGAAGAGGTCAAGATTGTCGAGCAGAGATTCTGCATGAGATCGCTGTGCTGGAATTGGCCAAGTCTTGTCCTCATGTGATTAATCTTCATGAGGTCTATGAAAATACAAGCGATATCATTTTGATACTGGAATAGTAAGCACATACACACATATGCTTGTTTATTTATTTATATATTGGGATTTTATGGGCACACAATTCCTCTTCTTACACTGGAGAAGCCATTATGAGCACTTTTATGTGTATCATATGTTTTTCAAAATAAATTTTAATTGAACAAAAACTTTTAAATTTTCCTTCAATAAGAAGCCTTCATATTCAGAAAAGCTGGATATTGGCTATAATTGGAGCTCTTTGTTGGTTCATTGTAATAGTAACTGAATTTACTGAATTATTTACAATGTGGTAGATACTGTCGTAAATACTTATAAAAATGATCTGCTTTGATCTTTATAACATCTATTGTGCTCAATACTTTAAGTGATTCTCTAATGTATTATTACCAGTATATGAACTGTATTTATTCAGGCATCACAGTAGAAATCATAAAGACATTTTGTCTTGGTTCAGATAGCTGATTAGTGACAGCTAGATTGAAACCCAGGCAGTCTTGATTTCCATAGACAGCACTGTAGGGACCCTGCTGTCCTGGACCTTATTTCCTAAGCACCGGGAAGTGCTTTCCATAATTTTCTCTTTTTATTTGCTATCTTTCAACATGCAATGAAGAACTTAGTTTATGAGAATCTGAACGTTCATCTGTTCATTTTCTTCTTCTGCATACAAATACCTTAGTAATATTAATGAATATTATCCTATTATTATTGGTGAATTATTATTATTGTTAGTGAATATTGTCTTGAATCTCTCTTCATGAACATGTTTAGACCACTATCAGTATTTGAGTGTTTTTGTTTGGTTAAAATGAAATGAGGGGAAAGAGTAAGGTTGTCACTGTCATCCTGTGCCTCTTTGTTCAAGAGATCCTGAGAAGGGATGTGCTAAGTAAACACTGACATACATATATATATATTACATATATATATGTAATTACATATAGATGTTTATATATCTATCATATACAGGTAGGAGCCACCGCATATATATTATGTATATGTCATATTTTTATTTCAAAGGTAAGGCAGACAATAACATTATTAGATTTTGTTTATTAAGTATGTACTTAATAAATTTTATTAAATATTATTTATTAAGTATGGGTATTAGTACCCAGATTTAAAATCTTTTTGTCATGTGTTTTCTTCTTGAAAAATCTCCTTCCTCTCATTCACTTTTTTTCTTTTTTCACACGGATATGCACATAGATAAATATATAAGCACATACACAAATTTAGATTGTCTTGTGTTTTTCACCAAAGATGTCTATAAAGTTTTTAAATGATGGTTTTTTAGGTACATTTTTAAAAATTTTGTTTCAGTGCTGCAGGTGGAGAAATTTTCAACTTGTGTTTGCCCGAACTGGCTGAAATGGTCTCTGAAAATGACGTTATCAGACTTATGAAACAAATACTTGAAGGAGTTTATTACCTACATCAGAATAACATTGTACACCTTGATTTAAAGGTAAGGCAGGGTATGATTTAAAGCCACATGGCACTGTTGTTCTTTCTCTGCTCTTGGTAGGCACAGTTTAGGCTGGTATTGATAGACAAGTCATGTCCTTTTCATCTGGACTACATTGCTGCACTCTGCCTGCCTGCATGCTACATGGACTGCATTTGTTCTCGGCAGATAGTAGGCTGCATGTGTGAGCTGCTCAGATTAATTGCTGAGCATTTAAAAAAATCATTCTTGTATCATTCTTGAATCCTGTTGTCATTCTACTCTATCTCACTTTTAGGGCAGTGTCTTAGACCTTCTTGTTTTATGAAACTTGTCTCTGAAATACCTAATTTTTATCTCATTTCTGATGATGTGCCATTATTAACCCTTGCTCCTTGGCTCCCATTATTCTTACTCATCTTTCACTTGAGGATGTGGGACCTTTGGTTCCTTCCAGATCATTCTTCCCTGACCATACCCCTACAACTCTGACTTTTCATGCTTTGTCCTTTCTCGTTGTCTTCTTGCCACAGCTACTCAAAGACCTTAAAGTCTGTATTAATCTGCCTCTTACTTTTTTATTTATTTTATTTTTTGCAAATCCTGGGCCTCAAACTCAGGGCCTGGGTGTTTTTTCTGAGCTCTATTTGCTCAAGGCTTTTTCTGAGTAATTTATTGAAGATAAGAGTCTCTCAGACTTTTCTGCCCAGGCTGGCTTCAAACTGTAGTCCTCAGATCTCAGCCTCCTGAGTAACTATGATTATAAGAGTGAGCTTCCAGCACCCAGATTTGCCTCTTATTTTTTGAACATTGGACTTTTCTTTCTGTATATTGTCTGCATCTGTATGATCCTTTGGCTTCCATTCTTATTTTCATAATAAAAATAATAATTCTAAAACTCACTACCTATATTATATCTCAGGCCTGTCTCTTAATTTCTAAATCCTTTTTCTAATTCCAAGTTGGATATCATTTGAATGTCCTGTAAAATCTTTAAAATAAGGGCCAGGCATGGTGGCACATGCCTATGATCCCAGTCAAACCCCAGACAGAACAAGCCAAAACATTTTCAAATGAAAGAACAAATGTTTTCTGTATTGGACAGAAAAACAATATTTCTCTGTGGAGGAGGAAGAATGATTATTATTTAGCCAGCCCTACCATTTGCACTACTGGTAAGATATTCAAACAGAAACCACATGGTAAATACCAAGATAATCGCGCTCTCGTCTGCTTTCCTTTGGGTCTTTCTCCTGCCCCAGATAAACCAAGTGCAGTATACAGCATCACGCAACACTGGAAGTCAGGGGTATCTTGTAAATGTGATTTTTTAATATAATAAAGCCTGAAGTTGACAGAAGTACTAAAATTACCCCTGCAGTCTCTTCTGTAAGAGTCTCTATGATTTAATAATAAACACAAGATTTCCCAGAAGTTGGGAGAGACTTTGAGAATAGAATCTCTGCATGTATCTTTGGTTTTGATAGCAGCAAGGAACTTCGTCATACTCCACAGACTTACAATAATCAAGCAAAGTCACATAGTCTGCGAGGTGATGGATGGGGAGCGTACCATGCATCTTTTTTTATTTCTTTTTAAAAACTTGTTATTGTAAGGGTGATGTACAAGGGGTTACAGTTACATAAATCAAATAATGAGTATATTTCTTTTTGAACAGTGTTACCTCTTCCCTCACTTTCTCCAGGTTTTTCCCACCTGTCCCCACCCACAAGTTGTATAGTTTATTTTCAACATAGTGTCTAGTGAGTTTCACTGCTGCATTCGTTCACCTTTTGTCCTTCCATTTCTGTGCCCCCCCCCTCCTTTCCCTACCAAAGACAACCAAGACAAAGGAAAAGAAATAAAAAAATAGCAACAGAGACAAAAAAAAACCTCATCTCCATTTCTTGGAGTTCATTTCAATAAATATTATTTTATATATGCACATAGCTATTGTACCTTTGTGATCCTCTCCTAGGAATATACTCCTTTGGTCTCACTGTGTGAATGCCTAGACACTTGTATAATTTATCATGTCCCAGTGTATTTTTTGTTTTTACCATCCAGTGTGTTTACTTGTAGGTTTATAGGCACATTCTAGTTACCACAAATGAGGAAACCATGCAACCTATGTTTCTTTGGGTCTGGCTTATTAAATAAAGTAAATCTTTCCATTTCCTTATGAATGTGTACCATGCATCTAAATGCTCTCAACTATGAACTTGGGAACAGCGAGGCCTAGTTCATCCAGAAGTACTATACTCTCATGAGCCATCGAAATGTGTGTACATGCTCATTCCTTTATGCTGTCATTTGTGCTACTCCAGAGCACTTTCTTCATTGGCCTATTCCTGAGTCTTTGAGACTCAGCATAAGCATTGTTTCCACTGCACAAACGTCTTGGACTTCTTTATATCAGAATTAGGTAGTCTTATCTTTATTACAATGTCCTTATTATCATATCATCAATATGTCTGGCTTCTCTTTTCTCCAAACTGACAATCTTTTTTTTTAGTATGTTTGTTACTTTATGCATCAGTAAGTGTGTAGCTCTTCCCAAATAGTAATTGAATAAGTGTTGGTAAATTGTGTAGTGAAATACATCATAGCTAAGCAATACATTACACTTAATTTACCGCTAATGTGAGACTAGTATTCTTGTATTGCTAATTACTTATTACTTTTTGTTGTACTATCTTTAGCCACAGAATATATTATTGAGCAGTATATACCCACTTGGGGATATAAAAATTGTGGATTTTGGAATGTCGCGAAAAATTGGGAATTCATGCGAGCTGCGGGAAATCATGGGAACACCAGAATACTTAGGTAATGATTTCGTTTATTTTCTATAGCATTTTGAAATTTATTGAGTAAATGAAACCTCTCTAAAACTATTTTATGGCTAGGGGTGTAACTCAGTGGTAAAACATTTATCTACCATGTATGAGGCCCTGGATTTAAATCCCTCAAAGTGAAGGGGGAAAAAAAGCATTTTAGGACATGGAATTCCAGGACTTACTTTAAAGCACCAAAAATGCTTATGATACATTTAAATGAACTACATTGAGTACAGAACATTCATAATAATTCACGAGAAAGTAAGTGCGTAAGTTTAATAATTATGTCCATAAGAGAAAAGAAATGGGTAAGAGGGAAAACAGGCAATGAGAAAGAAATAGAAAGAGAAAAATGGAATCAAATAGTCCATGATTACTTGTGAAGGCCAGCTTCTGAGGTCTCACTTCTACTCTCCTGGCCCTACCTCCAAGGCTTTTGCAGCACTAGTATCTTTGATTTGCAAGGAGGAATTGTCAGCAGGAAAGTTTGTTGTTTGTGCTACTATTTGATAGATGTAAAGCTTTCTATAGGATTTTCAGAAAGAAGGGTACAAAGTTCTCTTTAGGACTTTACCCATAATTAACCAGTCTGGGAATATTGTACTAACTCCATAAATTAGATCATGCAAAAGATTCTTAAGTTGTATGAAGCAGTATATAACTTTAAGATGTTTTGAAATTAGATCATTAATAATTTTATCTTTGTTGTTTATATAGATATTGAAAAGACATGAAAAGATAAAACTAAACAGAATAGTTATCACTCAGTTCAGCAGTGATCTTCCAGAAATGAAAAGCAAAGCAAAATACTAACTTTTGCATCTAACATAAGCTAAAGTTTTGTAGAATAGATGGTTGTAATTACTGATAAAATAACTCAGAGAATGTTTAAAGGTAGTAGTTAATTTAATGAGATTGGCAATATATATGACTCAAAGGCTTTATAATTAAAAACATTAAGCTCCAGAAATTTCTCTGTGTAGAAAACTGGGCATTAATCACTGAAAAAATTGGATTTTTCTTTTTTTGTCAGTTGTGGTGCTTGAACTCTAGGCTTGGGCGCTATCCCTGTACTCTTCAGTTCAAGGCAAGCGCTCTCCCGCTTGAGCCACAACGCCACTTCTGGTTTTCTAGTAGCTAATTGGAGATAATAGTCTCACGGACTTTTCTGCCTGGGCTGTCCTCAGATCTCGGCCTCCTGAGTAGCTAAGATTACAGGCATGAGCCACTGGCTGAAATTGGATTATTGACAGTGCAAGAATAACATTTATTCTTGAAGATTTAGCTTTTTAAAAAGCACAATTATGATAATCCTTTTTACTCCCTAAATAGAAACTTAAATTAAGCCAATAAAACAATATAAATTAATTCCTAAGAAAGTTAAAAAAACTTTAAAAAATTCTACCTTCTAACATTTTATTTCTTTATAATTGTCTTTTCCTGAGATTTGCCTTAATGATTTGTTTTTTAAAGTACATAGTTGTCAGCATTTTGAACAACCTGGTCATAGAATTGGCTTAATATTAAAAATGTTTAAGCATCACAAGATGATTAAAGCTGTTTTAAATTCCTATTAAGCATGTATCACTTGACTTTTCAAAATGAACTCCACTACTGATTTACCATAATTATCATGACTTAACATTTGTCAATGATGTTGAATTTGAATTTTATTTTCATTTTCAGCTCCAGAAGTACTGAACTTTGAGCCTATTACCACAGCAACAGATATGTGGTAAGCCTCTGTTTGGTCTGAATGCCTCCTTGAGAGTTGGATAGTGTGTATTCTAAAGTCTTTATCTCAAGTGTAAATAAGGTTTTCTTCAAAATATTTTATTCGAGTATCATTATTATGCCCCAGAACAATAATCACATATTCACCCTTTCTAAGTAACAGACTGTGAGCCAAAGGTATAAAAATAAATAGGAAAGCCCTTTCAGTGATGAATATTCAGATGAATAAGAGAACAAAACATCCTTCATGTATTGCTTCATGTTCTATTATAAAGATATAGTGGTCCAAAAGCCTGGATAGAGTTTGTGAGGTTCCTCCTGCCAATGGGAAGCATCTGGTCTACATATAGAAGAGTTAGGCAAAGGTATTTGCTACACAGAGAAATTTGGTGGTGCACACAGTTTTATGAAGGAACATCTCTAGGGAATTGGGTGTTTTTGTGGCTAACATAGAAAATGTGAAGCTAACTTCATAGGTCAAGTGGAAGTTTAGATTTATTCTTGTATTCTGAGAAACTGCCTAAGTTTACCTAAGAGAAATATCTTCTGGCTAGGTAAGTGTGTGGGCCATGTACTACATTGTCTAGTTCCTGAGTACCAGCCTGGTTACTTACTAATACAGTCACAGCTTGAAAATTTTTATAATGAGAAATATATCCAGCCATGTGCTTTGTCAAATTTATTTATCCTCCAATTGCGTGGAACCTTTGTTACATTCCTAGATCCTCGATGTAGCATGGCACCATTGAGAGACTGCCACAGCAGTTTTGTGCCTGTGCCGAAGGCTGCACAGTAGATTACCTGATGTATTTTAGGAATTTGTGAAGCAAGCTTTGAAGTAATATCATTATTTCAGTTTTAATATTATGATTTCTACAGGTAATTTAAGTCCATTTTTTAGCTGGATCAGATTTGATGAAGAGAATTTGTAGCATATTGACCATATTTTCTTTCTGTGTTCTAAAATTAATGTATGTTTTAAGTTCCCTTCTCCTCCTTTGTTTTCAGGAACATTGGCATAATCGCATATATGTTGTTAACTCATACTTCACCATTTGTGGGGGAAGATCACCAACAAACCTATCTTAATATTTCTCAAGTTAATGTAGATTATTCAGAAGAAACATTTTCATCAGTCTCACAGCTGGCCATAGAGTTTATCCAGAGCCTTCTAGTAAAAGATCCAGAGTAAGTAAGAGTATTTGTTTTTTAACATTATAAGATAAATAATATGAACCTATTTTTACAAGAATGTACCTGTTTCATTACATGCAGATTGGGTACCACTGGGAAGAGAAGAGGGAGTAGGGAAATAAATATGACCAGAATACACAGATACAGAGTTCATCCATAAATGTATGAAATTTTCCTAAGGAAACCCATTGTTTTGTACAATTAATATCAGCCAATCAAAAAATAAAAGATAATAACTTACATTTTGAAAAATCAAAAAGGATACATTCTAGACTGATATATAATTATTAGAAATATTAAAGTTTTGGTAAAATAGAGGGACAGGTAATAGAACTGATTACTAAATAATGAATTGGTAACTTCAAATGGAAAATATATAGCAGGAAATTTCGAATGAAGGGAAGATTTGGGTTATCTCTCAGCTAGATGATCCTTGTAAATAGTTAGAAATAGACTGGCCATGATAAATTCATTGTGAATGGTTTATAGTTAAATAAGATAAAAATTAATGATCAGATCCTTTAATACAAGGGACTTGAAACTATAGCTTAGGATCCTTACTCATTTGATAACTTCAAGGCAATAAAATGGAAACTGAAAAGCTGAGCTTCTCTTTACCCAGGATCAGTTCTGTGTCCTTCCAAGAGCCTGGATTCACACGTAGAGAAGCTGGGATGTGCCCTGAAGGGGATCCTGACTTTCTTACTTTTCAGTTTTCTACCTCTGACAAACGACTCCATTTCCTTATTTGATGATGATGATAATGACTAGGCTTCTAAATTATTTTATTCAATTAGTTTAAGTCCAAACAATTCTTACTGGTTATAATTTGATCATGAATGGTTATTTTGTAAAAGTAGTAATAATAATATTGTTTCACACTATAAGCTATTTTGTTTTTTTAAAGATTATGTACCTAGATTCTAAAAATGTCTATAACAAGCACATTAATTTTTTTATAATAAAAAAAACCCTATATATAAAATCAAAAGACTGCCTGGTAATGGTGGCTAACATCTGTAATCCTAGTTACTCAGGATGTGGAGATCTGGAGGATCATGACTCTAGGCCAGCCCGAGAAGAAAAGTCTAGTAGATTCCATCTTCAAGTAACCAGCCAAAAGCAGGGATAGGGTCTAGTGGTAGAGTAAGCTCAAGGTCCTGAGTTCAAACACCAGTATTGCCAATAAAACAAACCAACAAAAACAAAGAAACATACAAAATGTTTTTTGTGTTAAACTTACAGTTATGATTATAGCTCAGTGTTTTCCATCCTTTTGCAAATTGTGGTATTTTACCATATCACTATAGTAATTTAGTTGAAAACAAAATTTTAAAACTCCAAGTGTTAGATAAACATCATGGAAAAGTAGCTTTTGTTTGTCAAGATTTAAATGTTGCTACCTTTATAAATCCAATATAATACAGAATATAAATTACTTATTTATATTTTCCTTCAAAGGGTTTATAAATGCAAGAGATTTTGTAAGTTTACTAATTAAAAATGTATTACCATAAATTAATTTACAAAAGGCTTCATTGAGATGTTTACATATACATATTTGCATATTATACATATATAACTTGAATCAAATTCAACTATATTACTCTTACTTAATCCCCTTCCTTCCTCCCCTCTCCTTATTAAGTTTTTGGCAAGATTCATCAAGTTCTTTTCATACAAATATATTAACATACTCCTATGATATTCACCCTCTGTCACTCTCTCTTCCCCCTGTCTCGCTGGTCACCCCAATTTTCCTTTTACTGTCATGTCCTTTTATAATTTTAATTAGGTCTCAACTCTACATATGAGTGATACTTGTCTTTTTAAAGTTGGCCTAGCTCAATTAACAGTTTAACTTTCCTAATTTTCATTGCTTAGGCTAACATATGTTTATAAGCCTTTTGACTAGAGTTTCATGTATAAGTTCCATGAGCAGCGGAGTCCTTAAGACATGACATGTCAGGGCTAACTAGGGGCTCCACTTTTCCTCCCTTCAGCCATCTCACACAGGAACTATTTTGTATGTAAGGTGAAACCACACATGAGCAGACAGCAGAATTGGAACACAGAGCTGAAATTTTCCCTTGATTTATTTTACTTCTTTTGCGCCTTCAGGTAAACTTAAAGCTGTAGTGCATGCCTGTCTACCTGCTACCAGTGCTATGGCATCTTTCACTTGAACTGAAACAATTTGTTGTAAAAAAAAAAAAAAACCTGTCATTTTCTTGTTTTTCTGCAGTAAAGGAAATCTCAGGATTAAGTGGTTTCTACTGTCTTCTAGTTGTGGCCAACTGGAATCAAGATTTTTAATTAAATTAGTGTTTTGTCCACCAAAAATTGTTGCCCTATAAGTTGTCCTTCCAAGAAGAGACTTACTAAAAAAAGAGAGACATTTTTATACCTCCCATATGAATATAGATTCATGCACTGGAGGTGTAATTCAGTGGTATTACTTTCCTGGTTTGGACAAGGCCTGGATTTGAGGGATTTGAGCTCCAGAAACACCCTACTTCTCAGAACAATCCCCCCACACTGAAAATGTTTCAGTTTGATTTTAGGACTCAATTTTTCCCTTGGTGTTTGTCTCATAGGCAAAGACCATCAGCGGAAACCTGCCTTTCTCATTCTTGGCTACAGCAGTGGGACTTCAGAAGTTTGTTTCACCCTGAAGAAACTTCCAGTGCCTCTCAAATTCAAGATTTTACCGTGAGGTCCTCTGAAGACAAGTGTTGTAAATCTTCTTGTAATGGGAGCTGTGGTGACCGGGAAGACAAGGAGAATATCCCAGAGGACAGCAGCATGGTTTCAAAAAGGTTTCGCTTTGATGACTCTCTGCCTAGCCCTCATGAACTGGTTTCAGATCTGCTCTGTTAGCACTTTCTCTCTTTAACTTGTTTGGACTGACTGAAATTTGTCATCTACTCCAGGATGTGATTGTATTTTTTAGCTTTCTATATGTTTATGTTATACAAACGCACTTTTGCATAGAGGAGTTTAGGGAAGTGTTTTAATGCTAAATTTATAGTTGCTCACATGTCATTCCTCTCCTAAAATGGTTCAACAGAGCAGGAAATATTTAAATATATGACAAAAATAAATGACACATTTGAGTTCACATGTTAATGAAAGAATTCAAGTTCAGATGAACTTATAAAAATGCTTGACATATCAGGGAAAAAAATGGCAGGTTTTGTTGTGGCTGGTATAAAATGGAGACATGAAGATTTACTGGCTTCCAAGTTGAATCCTTTGCCATGACTCTCTTGATACACTGTGTTTAGGAAAATGGTGTCAGATTCTAAACAAAATACATACTAAGTTTGTAGGTCCTTCAGGGCAGCTTATAATTGAAATTATTTTCCAATTGCAACTATTTTCAAACTGCATAAGATTTGTTTTATATGGCATGCTCTGTAGAATGAAGAGGAAGCTAGGCCAAGGATAGTCTCTGAAGTCAGAGAAAAGAATAGTATCTTCATCTTTTAACACAAATGTCTTTTGCCCACTCATCATACTCAACTCTAATAACATCTGGAAGATTGAAACTGCCTCATATACAAGTATTGAGGTTCATTATTTTTTAGCTAAGATGGACAGGACAGACTGCCTTTTTACTCAATAAAAAATATTTATTGAATGTAGCAGAAAATGGTGACAGAGTCAGGCAGCTTACTAAATCTTAGATACCTTCCAAGTCTCAGAATATAAGCCTTCATTGAGAATTCTTAAAAGTATGAATTTAAAAAACAAACAAACAAAAAACCACAGCTCTAATAGGCCTGATACACAATGCCAGAGTCAGCAGTAGCAGCAGCATAAAGTAGGACATGAAGCTCTTCTAAAACTCTTGTGTGCAATTCCCAGCAAGGAGCCTCCCCACAAGGCCACCTGCAGAGTGGCCTGTAAACATGGTCTTCTGTTGGGAGTCATTCAAGTAAGGGTCTGGGGAGATCACCATGGTTGATTGGTGGCTGGTGACTAATTATGGGGGGAGTATTATGGAGGATTTGTTTGTGGGTCATCTTCAATGGGTTTCTATTTAGTGCTTAATCTCATGACATGTCACTAGATCAGACTATATGTTGACAAAACAAAAGCATATTTCCTCCAATGAATCAAAAAATACTTAAAAGACCTTTATATTCTTAAATTCTTAAATCCAAATTCTTTATATAACTTTTTAAAAATATTCATCAGGTGACTATATTTGATTGAATTTCAAGTTCCTTTAAGTCTTTGGCATTTTCAGTGGAAAAGTTGATTGTACTTTGTGTTTATGTAAATGTGTATATGTATAGGTATATGTATATATGTATAGATAAATTACAATCTTTAAACAACTTGCGGTTCTTTGGTCTAGAATACTGTGTTCAACTCAGGTGCCAAAGGAGCTCTTTTCTAATGAAAAGTAAATAATAAATAATAAACAAATTCTTTAGGAAGTCATTTGTTGGTCCATTGAAACTATAGACACTATAGATACTGTTTTAAATTGGTTGATTGTCCATTTATTTGTCTCCTGGATTAAGACAGTCCAAGTGTAGTTTAGGCATTGGAGAGTCTTTCCCGAAAGACCATAATATATTTTTTAAGTTTTCAGATGAATTATACCAGACCAACCAAAAACTAGAAATGAAGAAATATTTGAATTTTGAATTAAAAACCATGTCGTAAAAAATCATTTTAGACCAGTTTTCTTTTTCTATGAGGAATCTTAAAATGGTGTAAATGTTTCCCCTTTAATTTATAGAGTACAGAGTAGTAAACCTCTATACTTTTGCTCCTAACATAAAGTTTTTATTGTAAAATAGCAACTAATAGTTGCATAGAAAATATAGAAACTGCCTTTGGATAAAGGTGAATTTAAATACTTTGACTTATTAAAATGTGGAAATAAATGAATTCATGAGAATTCATTAGCAAAGATTCATTAGTAAGAGATTATTCTTATTCTTTCTTTTTTTTTCTCCCAACCTTGAAAAGAAAATCAATCAAAAACAAATGATATGTCTCTAGGGCACAATGAAACACTTGTGAAGAGAACTTACAATAGGGATAGTTTGTGAAATTGAATTTGCCTTTTGAGTAGGATCCCTGTATAGATGAGACTTAAAAATATATGATGTGTAGATAAAAACACAACTGTCATTTTAATTCTTTTTCCTCCTTCAAATTTACTTAACTCTGAGTAATAAAATAATGCTGACATTTTAAACAAAGCAAGGAGTGCCTCTCCTCTAGTCTGTGAACTGATAAGGTGATTGTACCAGAACTTGAGTCAACAGTCTTGTTCTTAGTATGAAAGAAAGTCAACTAAACCAGGATGATAGGAGATGTTGCTGACCTTCATCTTTCACTTTGATAGATTGCAAATAGTTCATGGGCTATACTTTGAATAGTTTTGCTCTAAGCAGCATTAATAGGTATTGATACTTTATAACTTTCCATTTCCTGTTTGTTTTTGAATTTTTGCTTTGATATCTGACTTGGTAACTTGTCCTTATTGTGTAAACAATTGTGCTTTCATTTCAAGTTATATAAAAATAATTTGACTTCCAATTTGGGAGAATGTTACCAACTTAAAATTTTATGAAAGTATTTTAAAGAAGGATAATTGTATATCTCACATAAATGACAACTGCTCAGTCATCTAAATTTCCATTAAATAATCATGTTGCTTGTGGACATATAGACAGATATAATATTCCAGGTTTTAAAACCTAGAAAACTGTTTATTAGCAACTTAACGATCCTTTTCGCTAAAATTAAAAAGCACTTTGTTTTTTACATTTATAGTTGTCCGGTGTTTTAAATCATTTGCTATTCTTAAACTCTCTCCTAGATGCTCTAGCCTTTGGCTCAGGTTGTCTTTGAACTCCTTTTCCATTACAGCTATGTTTAATAGGTTTTCTCCACTGGAAAAGCCAGGTGAGTTTGAAAACAAGCATTGTTATATAGTGAGAAAACAGAGCAGCCACAATTTGAGAGGATGAATCAAGAGTCTTTCATAGAAGGCCAGCAACCACAGGTAGACTTGTCACAAAGACCTGCAGCCCTGCAAATATGCTTAACCCTGTCAGAAAACTGAGCCATGAGAGCAGGAGAGGAAAGAAAGTGCAGAAAAACAATACCAACAAACAAGATCAACAATAATAGAGAGCTGAAGTGGGATGCCATGTTGACTGAAGGAGAGCGGGGGAAACACATGGATACCATCTCTCATACCTGAGGAGGTCTGGGCCTAAATAGGGTCAGGTCAGGGGCAGGGTTACTGGGAGCTTGGACTCAAGACTGGCAGGTCCAGTAACCTATGGTCCAAGTTCCCACCCCTGCCTTTAGTAATTCAAGCACACTCATCACCTGGAGGTGGGACTTTCCTACCTCCATCATGAAGACAAGATGCCGCCAGTTAAACCCAATACCCTATCACCCACCACGTGACCAAGATGGCGCTAGTTAGCTTCATCATCCCTACTTGAGCAGGTCTATTCTCTGGTAATAATAGGAACTTTTAGGAAATGTCAATATATTGTCTATTACATACAAGATGAATAAGAAGCTCTTTTTTTTTAAAGTTATAATCTGGTTGGAGACTAAGGGGCAGTTGATTCCCATTATTCATGCTATAAAAGTTTCCAGACTCAATGAAAAAATACTGAAGAATTGCATCATCATTATGCTTCCAAGGCATTTTAAACATTGAAAAGCAGGAAAATTAAAAAGAAGAGGGGCACCAAAATTACTGCAAAAGGACATTTATTTTCCAGAATGAGAGCTGAATGGAGAAGAGTACTGCCTTGCTCGATTACAGCTGAGAACAGTTCTGTCAGATGAACTCAATTTTTGTTTTGAGAAAGTAAGGAATTTTGGGGGGGAGAGGGGGTTGAAATCCAATCATCACAGAAGAAGACAAATAATTTAACTCTTCTGAATATTTTATACTTCCCCATGAGATCAACTCTTTGTGTAAACAAGTAGGATCCAGAATTCAACAAGTATTTGAGACAATATTGAAAACAATGAGCATATACATAATGAGAAGAAATAAAAGGATAGTTTGCATCTCATTTTCTTAAAGATATGATTGTCATTTAAGGACTACCTTGGCCAAAAAAAAAAAGAAAAGTCCTCAAGACCCCCTCCCAACAAGTAGTAGGGCAAGAGTACCACATACCTGTAATCCTAACTGCTCAGATGGCTGAGATCTGAGGACTGGTTCAAAGCCAGCCCAGGCAGGGAAGTCTGTGAGACTCTTTATCTCCAATTAAGTACCAAGAAACTGGAAGTGGAGCTGTGGCCCAAAGTGGTAGAGCACTAGACTTGATCAAAAGTAGCTAAGGAATAGCACCAAGGCCCCGAGACCAAAAAAAGAGAGAGAGATTCAATACTGAGCAACTTCGTGATTAGTTTATTAAGTCAAGTGTGTAGCCAAGCATTCTTTGTATAATTTATGTCTTTGCACAATTCCTGCCTATTTTTCCCTTCCATATCATATGGCTGCATTTTTTTGGGTGTTGGCTGAAGTATATGATAGCACTTAAAACAGAGAGAAACCCCCAAACTTTCTTTGGGGGTTTTATTTGTAAATACACACATCTACTGGAGGAAGGAATAGAAAAGCCTCAGAAGGAAAAAAAAAAAGAGAGATCTCTGGGTTTGTGAGCCATAAGAACATCCCCTGACTCTCTAGTGTGTGTTGAAAATACCACAGGATCTCACAGACAGCGTAGCTTCAGGAGCTCAGGTAGGTCCAAAAGAGTTAGGGTGGGAGGAATGGTGTGAACATTGTCTCTGGAATGTGAGTGGCAGGAGGAGGAAGACAGCATTGAGCCTAAGAAGAGTTTCATATAGGTCCAATGATAGCATCCTTTATTTTGTCCAGCTCCTCATGAACAGAAAGTTTCTACTAGAGAAACAACAGGTTTCATCTAACAGATTCTAGTGGTGTTTTTGGTAAACATTCTAAGGGTTAAATCACAACTCAAGGCTCAAAGATAATCTTGACCATTATTAAACACACTCTTGATTATTACCTGACCAGCCATAGTCAAGTTTTTTCCCCTGCTGCCTCCATCACAGGGGCTTTTCCAGCTCACTTGGAAGTAGGGATGAACTAGAGTACGGCTGGGTGGTTGGATTTCTCCACGCGAACCAGAAATATTGCTTACTGCTCCCAGCATCTTGAGTGGGAGCTATTTCCATCATTTGTAACTACAAGGGAGAGGATGAGGGAATACTGGAGACGCTGGCCCTGACCTCACTGACCACTGCAGTCCCTGAAACAGTGGTGACCGCCATTCCTTTTTTGACTTTTCAGTCTGTGATTAAAATAAAGACTTAGTTGGTAAAGCCACTTTCCATTGTGTACTCTGCAATGAGCATCTGGAAGTATCTGAACACCACCGTCCTTGTTTCCAAATCTCAAATTCCTCCTAATGTGGCAAGCTATGCAACCTGTGCCCAATGATGTTTTGGAAGCATGGTGCTAGCCCATGTTGAACATGCTTTTTTACTGCAGTATTAAGTGGGGCTTTTTATTTACAATGGAAATCCCCAAGCGAGGATCAGCTTATACTATGTTTCATAATCATTTTGACCATACTAACATCTCTTTGGATATTATCCACAGAAAGAGACATAGAAACAGTACTAGATGTCAAAGCAATATGGAAGAGCAGGCTTCCAAATTTCTGAGAAGTATGATTACTTTCAGTAGCACTCCTTGTAGCATGGTAGCCTGTATTATCCTGATGAGGAATCATCAACAGATGTGATACAGCAAGCTTTGCTTCTCCTAGGCCTTCCGTGTCTTCATGTTTCCTTGGCATTGTCACCGTCTTCTGCTTGGGGTTTCTCATCCCAGCCATGCCTTGGTTTCTAGAATCTGCACTCTTACTGAGCCTTCACCTCCACCAGTTTACCTCTTTGGTGATATTTTCCAACGCCTAAAATAAAAGACCTTTCCATGTCTTCTGGTTTCTTGATCTATTATGTCCTTCTGATGGAGAATAGAAAAGTTCCAACATTTCCCATCTAAAAAAAAAAATTTCTCATAGTCACACACACACACACACACACACACACACACACACACACACACACACACACACACACACACACACACCTGTCTTCTTATATAGACATATGAGAGTTTTTCTTTGTAGGAAACAAATCAGTCCTCCACTTTATTAAAATATAGGGTCATTTCTCTTAAAATACACTGCTAAAGAAACTTCAGGAGCATTGTCAATGGAGGGGGTGAGTGCAGATATGGTAAGAATCAAATGAATAATCTCTCACATTGAGGTTTGATTTCAATTCTATGCTGTGGACAACTCTCAGATAAAAAAAAAGATTATTTTATAATTAGTCGTGAGGATTCCATCCAATGTGGTTCACCACCAGAATTTAAATTTAGTGATTATAATACCCCTTTGAGAGGCCAAAGGAAAGATATATGCTAATTATCCCGATATTTCTTGCCAGGGTAGACTGCAACTGGGTCACCAATTACAGACACAATTGCTAGTTAAATTTGTTGCTGGTTATATTGCCATATTGAATGACCAAAACATGAGTTTGTGGAGAAAATGACAGAATTATTGAACAAACACAATATAACATTCTCTATGTCTTACAATGATAGCATACCTTTTACCCCCATAAGTCAATAATTGTGAATAAATCATAAAGCTTCATGATTTTCCCCAGTTTCAGCATTCATCATTTCATATTTAAATTTTATAATTTTTATAACTGCCTATATAGTTCAAAGTCTTCATAGTGCAATATTGTACTTTATTTCTTCCTTTGAAAGCAGTCAAATTTAATAAGAACGTGATTAGGTTTTAAACAGATTTGCACAAAGAGATCTCTGAAATAAATGAATATTAAAGTAATCACAGACTAAAGACCATTGAAAACAAGTTTAAAGGGAGAAAAAGAGCTTGGTCATTTATTGAAAGGCCTTTTTGGCTGCTTGAACCTGTGTGAACATCAACTACTTTCTTTTTACAAAATAGCAGTCATCAGCTGTTTGCTTCTTTGATTAGTTCTGGTCCCAATTCATTTAATACTAATGATTAAGCATGGGATACTACAAATGAACCTGTCTCCTTTTTTCCCAGTAAGAGAATAATTACACTGGCCAATGGATGGGACCTTTTATATCACTAAATTTGTTAGAGATTTAATTACTTTGGCTTTCTTCCAGTTCCCCTGACCAAACATGACAAACAGTCCCACAATATTGTAGCTAAGTAGTCAGTTTAATTTCGGAAGCTCTTTCTAGTGTGTGTCTTTATTAACTGGCTGTTTGTGTGTTCATATCAAAAGTATTTCCTGTGAGTATGTCTGTATGCTGAGATATAAAATATATAAATTAGAAGAGAAAGAATAAGTTTGTGGAGGGCCTGCTGTGAATCAAGAATGACATTAAGTTCTTTTATTCTTGCTGTTTTGTTTAATTTGCATGGCAATCCTACAAATCAAATATCACCCTCATTGTGTAAGTGAGAAAACAGTGTCAGGACTTAGACAACTGAGTACCATGGCTGAGATTTGAGCTCAAGTTCTCCTAACTTCAAATGCCTTGGCCTTTTTTGTCATACCAAATTTGAACTAAAATTTCGAAGATTGATTCACAAACTACAGAAAGTTCTGAGAGTGTGTGTCATTTTTTAATGATTAAATTTTTTAGTTTACATGTGTTTAAGTAAAAGCTGAAATATATAAAAGAAATTTAGAGTAAAACAGTCTAAACTGCAGTAGGTGGTACATTATAGAATACAC